AAGGACTAGACTGCCTGCACCGGCGCTACAAGTCTCAGCCGGCTCAGATGCCGCCGTTTTTGATCTGCGTTTGCCCTCGGAATCTCGGACCTTGAGATTTAAAGGCGCATTCTCGTAGAATGGGATCCCGTGGCGCAGGTTGACCCGAGGGTAGGGAAGACCAGTCTCCGTATAGAATGCGGGGAGCAATCGCTGGGCCAGATCCACAGCAAGTCGGAGCAGTTGGCCATCATAGACAAAGCCATTGCTCCATTGAATACCGTGGTCACTTTTCATAAACATGCTTTTATCCCATGCGCTAGCGAATGCCGCTTCCCGTTCTGATGGCTCGTATCCGGTGATGGGTAGCTCGCCGACGGCGAAAAGATGGGCACTGAGCAATCCGCCTGGAATAAGTTAGCAGTAGGACACGAAAGCCGCAAATCGAGCATATGCAACAAATCGATAAGCTGGGAGGGAAAAGAAAACATACCCAGTCCCCGAATCACAGTTTCAAACAATTGTACCTTGCTATCCAGATCAAATCCCCTCGACCTTTCACCCTGACCAGCAGGGCCATCCGAGCCATCACCATACAGTCTAACAAAGCTCTCGACACCATCCTGGAAATGTGCCAAGGCTCGCTCCCCACTGTCCGGGCTCGAGGATAGGATGGCCAGCGTCGATAAGCTGTCAATCAAGGTCAGAGAATAATTCCCAAGCACGTCATTATTCTCCGGATTCTTCTCGTCGCGAACAAGAGGGCCGCATGTCAGGGCGCGTAATTCGTCTTCGGGAAACGCGTATTGGAGGTAGTTCTCGAAGCCATGGAAGAACATACGCTCAGTTTCTTGTCTGCGGAAGGACAGGGGCGTATTAGTGGATTTGGATGGCTTTCGGAGATGACCGGGGGTAGCATATAATATACCTTAGTTCTTTGACTAGGCTGTCTCGCATGCCATGAGCGACGGTGAGCCATAACAGGATGGCCCAAACCGCCATGTAGGCGGAGCGGAGGTTGAACATCGCCTCCGTCGCGTGCGCTTCGAGCAGACCTGAGCGCCGTAGGGATCATGGATAGGGCGCCAGATGGCCTTCTATTTCAGGCCTCTCTGAAAAGAGAGTGGTTTAATAGGGTGATCACCCTCGGCTTGTTCGAGTGGAGTGGGAAGTTGGGGGATTCGGCCAGATAAGCCTCTGGGGAATGTTTTTTTCCCGCTTATTGCATCATCTTCTTGCATGCTATAGTTACTGTCTATACAACTTGTAGAAGGTTGGAATGTTTATAAAATTAGTCTACTGATCGATCTTGAATTTAAATACCTTTTTTTCTATTTACATTTTGAGTCTCACTCTACGGAGTGAACTTCAAGTGCTATCCTACTATAAACCATATAGATATGGATACCAGCTATACTTAGCTATAGAATATGCAGTGATAATGTAGTTTCAGATGTAGACCCTAAGAAGACACGCAACAGGTATATTTGGGATTAAGCGACGTCAACATGAGAGGCCAGCTTGAGACCATGATTTTCTCACCAACCGAGTTGCCCATGCCATATAGATACACGTAAAGCAGAAATCCAACTAGACAAACTAGCAACAGAAGATGCGCTGAAATGGAGTTCTCTCTGTGCCCAGAGATATGGAAGTCGTCAGAATGCTTCGATGATAGTGAAATATCCAAGCCACGGTCCACTGGTCCTAGGATGACAGTGTAGGTATGTTGGTCCAAGCTGGACTACGTTGCAGATGTTAGCAATAAAGCTCGTATAAGACACACACGGATTAAACCAGTCGCCAAAATGACAATACCACACTCATCACTTGCCTTACGGGAGACAGAGGAAACAAAACTAGATGGCAGGTACCACAGCGTGCGAACCATTTTCCCTGTAGTCTTTCGGATGAGGTGCTAAGGGGAAGGAGTTTCTGCAGACTCGTCGAGAATCTGGTGCATTGGGAGGAGATCGTGATAGGTTTACCTACGTCGTTTGCCCAAAGAGATTGGAAAAAGGCATATATGTAGTCGTCCACGGGTCTACAATGAATGAAAATATTCCAAGGTCAGCCTAGTACAAAGGCCACATAAGAAAGTTCTTGTAGATAACCAGAGATATTCAAGAGCAGCATTTTTGGACTTTGGTTCTTGTTGTACAATTCATAGATCCAGATGAATAGCCGGACAAGTCATGACCTCTGGAAGCTCTGATAATCAGACCGTTCTCCGCGTCTAGATCGGGAACGGATGCACATGGCATGTTTGAAAAAATGAATTCGACGCCCGCTGATCTTCATTAAAACATTAATACCTATCATATATGTTTATTTGCCCAGCTCTCCAAGCATCAGGTTCCGGTCGGAGGAGCAAGAAACGACTGTGACCTTGTTAGAAATTGTGGATTTGCTTGCAAACAGGGTATATACTCACTGATTGGCTCATCATTGGGAGAGAAGCGCACGTCATTGACAGTGCCCTTGTGACCGGGAAGCTTATACAGCAATTTACCAGTTTTGGTCTCCCAGACAACCACACTTCGATCACCACTGCCTGCAGCAATCTTCTCACCCTTGGGATCCCAGCTGGCACGGATGAGGTTCTTCTCTAGCCCGACAGGAGCGCCATCGTAGGTCTTCACTTGCCGGTTGGTAGGGGCGAAGGGACGAATGTCCCATGTGCGAACAGTGGAGTCATGAGAGTTTGACAGCAAAGTCTGTGAGTCTGGCGAGATTTGTAGTGATGTGATGGTATCTGTATGTCCGGCCATCGAGTAGACTATGGCCTTCTTCCGAATATCCCAGGCGTGAATTGTATTGTCAATACCTCCACTGTAGATCTCATTACCCGCTTCGGACAATGCTACCGCGGTAATGGGGAGTTCGGTCTGGAGGTAGTCCAGAGCATCCTTCTGCCGAGGATCCCAGATGCCGATGGACCCATCATCACCACCACTGACCAAAAGTTCCTGTCCTCTTTTGCTGATATCGAGGCAGTTGATTATCTCCTCATGTCCCACGTGACGACGTACTCGTTCTCCGGTCTCCACATCCCAGCTTCCAAGGGTCATGTCTGCGGATGCTGAGAATAGTGCCCGCGAATCGCGCGACCACTGAAGATCCAGCACAGCTCCTCGGTGACCTGTCAATTGGCCGTAGTTTTCGCATTGTCCATATGTATTCCACAGTACTATTCAAGGAATCTCGATCAGTAACGTATTCGGCGGCCGCATTCCCGGATAAAGACGAGGACATACAGATAGAACGATCCATGGATCCAGATGCGATATGTTGCGCGGTAGGATCGAATCGGACTGCAAAGACTTCACCAGAGTGACCTAGTAGGTTCCTTTTATTAGCGCGTGTTATAGCGACAAATTGGCGACAGAGTCTTACCTGTGAGCTCCATGATAGGAGCATCCAAACCACTTGTGCGAGGAACCTGTATACTCAAATTAGCTGGCTATACTCCTTGAAAGCCCATTGAGCTTCGAAGGCAGACTTGGCGCATACAGATTGAATGAGAGCTCCATTTTGGGAGGAGCCCTTCACAAGCTCGGTTCCTGCGTTTTCGGCGGCCTTGTTTCGCTTGACCACGAGCTGGTGCGAGGTCCCAAAGCCCTCTGGAGCAGGGCGCTTTTCACCAGACATTGTCACAGCAAGCACCTCGGTGAATTTGGAAAGGTACGAGAATTAATTGGTGACCAATCGCGACCTCGAAAGCAGTGGAGAGCAAAAGTTCAGAGAAGCTGCGGGAATAACGATAATCCCACCTAGGCTCGGCGGTGAGCTGGATGTGTCCGGCGGGCGAGAGCGACCATTGAGACTTGATCGTCTTGGGTTATTTATGCCTGGCAGAAAACGACATGGTAATTTACCCCACTCATAGGTAAGATCCCTATCAATTAAAAGGCGGAGTAGAGGGCGGTGGATAAAAGTAACCAATAAAGTCAAAGTTTAGCATGGCCAGTTTCGTCCGCCGTACCCCGACCGTGTACAATCAGCAACTCCAACAATCACGGACTCCCCACAATCACCCTGATCAACACTGTCACATTTACCTGTGGCTGTCTGGACAGTATTCTTTTTCTGTTTTACCAACAAGCCGGGCTATCAGAGCATAATCCTGAAGATGTCGTCTACAAAAAACTCAAGGATAGGAGAAGAGTAGGTGGACTCCCAATGCCTTATCCAGTGGACCTTCTACTAATCAATGGCCTTCGAACAGAATATGGAAGTCAGTAAGCCCTAGTGCCCGCTTACTGGGATAAAAGAGCGATGATATCTCTGTCCTCGAATTCGAACTAATCGGCTTTCTTCATATGCGCAGAACAAGAGTCGATAAAGTCAACGCGGAGCTGGTCACATTAACCTACGGAACAATTGTCGCGCAATTATGCCAAGACTACGATAGCAACTATCACGATGTCAACAAGCAGTTGGACAAGATGGGATACAATATTGGAATGCGACTCATTGAAGACTTCCTGGCCAAGTCAGGTGTCGGCCGTTGCGTCAACTTCCGGGAGACAGCTGATATGATCGCGAAGGTAGGGATTACTTTAGTACATGGAGATAATGTATCTCTGATGGCTGACAATCCGATCAGGTTGGCTTCAAGATCTTTCTGAACGTCACACCTACAGTCACAAACTGGACTAGTGACAACACCCAGTTCTCCCTTATTTTTGAAGACAACCCTTTGGCGGACTTTGTGGAGCTTCCCGATGATGGGCGGGCTCAGGACGAGCTATGGTTCTCTAACATTCTGTGTGGCGTCCTTCGAGGGTCCCTGGAGATGGTAAGTGGTCAATTGGATTAGGTTCCCTTGTTACGGGTCCGATCACTGACCCGGCTTTTAGGTTCAAATGCAGATCGAGGCACACTTTGTCAGTGACGTGCTACGCGGAGATGATACCACGGAGATGCGGGTCTCCCTTGTACGATACATCGAGGATGAGATGCCACCGGAGGAAGAGTAATGACCTTGTGAGATCTTGTGCATTTACACTACTTGAAGAATGGGCGTTCTGGGGTTCGTCACTGGTTATGTCTTTTTTAGGGGGATTGGTCATTTTGCCCTTACTCGTCATTATTGCTTCTGATAATCACTCTATTTGTACACCTGTCTTTCAACAAATTAGGCTTTGTGATGTATCCTGCGCTAAACCACGCGATTTATCACTGGCATAGGGGGCTGACAGTTAACTTCGAACTGAGCAGAACCGGGCTTGGGGCAAGGTTTGAGATCATGTTGCGATCAGTTCATCGAAATCGCATGATCTCCCTTTTTCCCTTTTTTATACGTGTAGATCCTTGGCGAATCTGCCGCTCAGGAGCTCGATCTGTATGGTTTTTACCAAACACGTATTGCAGCGTAAACCTGCAGTTCGGTCCAGTACATACAAATTCCCGTGGGCACCTAAATAGCGGTCAACGGAACATCCGAGCCAGTGTATTTGTCACGTACTGTATGTCACAAACGCGAGGCCATACCGGTTCCGTACCACTATCTCCGCCGCCCCTCAACTCTTTACAGATCGAATTTCCCTCCTTTCCATCTTTTCTCCAACCTCTACTTAGGCACGACTTTTCCACAGCAATTGATTCTTCAATCAATTTGTTCAATTCTCTACGATCGCTCGATCTTCGATATATCTAACCTTTGTGGTGGTCGCGAAATAGTGGCTTACCCTACTTTTTAGACTCCCGCTGGGATCCATCGCAGGGCCCATCAGGTATCATATCACCCTTCTGACTTTCCCTTCCTTCGTCCCTTTTTTTATTTTTCTCGATCTCTTCAAATCGCCATATTTCCATATCTATCCCCATTTCTATTTCGCTAATTCCTTGACTCCCGTTTCTCCTTTGTCGCAGACCGCAAATTCAATGGTTATCAGATCGGTCCATTCCCAGAAATACGCTTGACAGCGCCATCCCCAGCCCCGACCTCCGATCAGGTTGATCCGCTCCGAACAAGCGATTCTCCCGCAGAGGGCAGCGCCTGTGAATGTACGTCCCCCCGGCTCTCTCTCACTGAACCCGTCCTCATCTTCCCACTGTGAGATCCACATATCTTAGACTCCCCTTTTCTATTCTTAATCTGTTCCCTTTTTTGGTTTCTTGTCCTTGGGTTTTCTCTTTCTTTGTACACGGCCTTGGTACTCTCCTATCCGCGATTCTGCCCGATCGGGTGTCTGGCGCCGCCCCCCATACCAACCACCTCACTTGTGCGCTTTTTCCGCCTCCTTGTACCTCCGTCATCGTCCACCTCATATAGACTGCGCACTTACTCTTGCACTTGGTCGTTTGAAGTGTTTAATGCTCTGGCAAGCGCTCATCAATTTCTCCAGTCAGAGACACACCGAACATACTACATCTGCGCCTCCGAGCCTCCATCCTCTCGTTTCTACCCTGTCGCGTGGTTTCTCCGGGAAAAGACGCCACCAGTGATCCTGAAATCCCTCATATTCTGCGATAATATACCCGTTTCTTTTGCGCCGTTACGCACACGCTTTGCTCAGCCTGCGAGGCTTGGATATTCATTCGAAAGCGGTCAGCGCTTTGCTTCCGCCTCCATTTCCACGCGTCGCTTCTATCACCCCGCGTTAGGCTTGATAGCCTGAAACGGAGGTCGCGCGTCGGAAATTACATATCTCCGATTTGAAAATCTCACGATACCGCAGGCAAGGGTGGCTACAGTCCCACCGTTCGCCACCATGAACCAAATGAACGTCGGGATGAACCCCGGGGCTGGGGGCCCTGTGGGTGGAGTTCCTATGATCAACAACGGATCCACGGCTTCTCGAAACGACGGCGCTATGAACAACCCCGAAGTCTTGGTCAACAACCTCAACACGTATATCTATGATTACTTTTTGAAACGTGGGTACCATGACTGCGCCCGCGCTCTCTTGCAAGATGAATCCATCAAACTCAACACCGACAACAACCCCAAGACGAGTCCCGGAAATCGGCGTGATGGCGATGTCAATGGTATGGACCCTGATGCCATGATGACCGATGGGAAGGACGGTGAGAAGATCAAAATCCCAGATGATCTCCCTCGTCCAAATCTTCCCAACGAAAGTGCCTCCTCATTCCTCCTCGATTGGTTCAGCCTTTTTTGGGAGTTCTTCTGGGCTCAACGCAAGAAGGGAAATAGCAGTGATATTAGGCAATACCTTCAGCACAACCAGGCGCGTAAACGATCATCTTCGGGGATGTGGATCATGGACTAATCCTGAAATTTAGAACTTTATGCGTCTGCGAGAGCAACAGCACAATCAATTTATGAGGCAGCAACCCATGATGCCCGGCCAGATGAACCAGCTCCGGAGACAGAATGGCATGGTGCCTCCTAACCTGCAGAAAACAGTGCTGCAGAACAACACCACTGGACTGTATGCTCTATCTGAATATCTCCTTGCCTATGCGAACTGTTGAGTTGGGGGTGGACGTGCTGATGAGATTCTTTCTAGCTCGCAACAACAACAACTGGCGCAGTATCAAAAGACCCAGCACTTGCAGATGATGCAGCAAATGCAACGGGATCCGGATATGGAGATGGGTGGACATCGACCACAGTCACCAGCGTCTGCCGACAACGCTCCTTCGCCGTCGAAACGCCCACGCCTTGAAGGCGCTGTCAACGGACAGCAGCTGGCACCGAATGGCCGTGGACAGGGACAAGGAATGCCTGGACAGCCCAACCCGCAGGCTATAATGATGCAGAATGGAATGCAGAATGGAATGCAGAGGGGAATGACTCCAGCCCAATTTCAGCAGTTCCAGGGACAAGCTGCGCAACAGAAATCTATGCAGGTATATGCTCAAAACTTGGCCCTTCATCACTCTCGCTCAGCATCGAATTCCCAGGGTATCCCGAATGGTGGCATGATGAATCCCGGTGTAATGGCGAATCAGACGGATCTGATGCCGATGCCGGATGGCCAAGGAATGTATCCCATGGCTGGTGGTCCTGATTACTACGGTGCGAACGGTCAACTCGCCCAGGTCCGACCCGGTAGTTTACAGACACCTGGCACTCAGCATGGTAACCATGCTCTTCAAGATTATCAGATGCAGCTTATGCTGCTTGAACAGCAGAATAAGCGCCGCTTGATGATGGCTCGTCAAGAGCAAGATAGCATTGCCCGGTCTGACGGCCAGCCCCCGATGCCCGGCCAAGGAATATTGCCGCCAGGCGCTTCCCCGGGCAGCAGGGCGGGCACATCTCCCAATCCTAGTGACCAAATGAAACGAGGTACGCCCAAGATACCTCAGACTGGACTTCCCGGGTCGCCAAATGCCGGTGACATGTCTCAACGTGGATCACCTGGATCCATGAACCTCAACGGTGGTCCGATACTAGAGATGGGGGCTCAGTTCTTCCCTGGATCGAATATGCGACCTCCTAGCTCTAACCCTGCTTTCACTGGAGCTCAAATGGGTCAGCCGATTCCGGCCAATGCCGGCCAGCGTATGCCTAGTGGACAATGGCAGCCAGGACAACCGCAGATGCCTCCGCAGCATTCACCTGCGAACCAGCCCCAGGCTGGGACCCCACAGGAACGAAGCGCGATGCCTCCGCCCTCGGCGCCACCTGTCACGGGTCCTAACGTTGGTCGTGGCCAGCCAGCGTCACCGCAGACGGCTGGGAACGCGCCACCAACGCCTCAGCAGGCCACCAAAGCTGCACCGAAAGGCAAGAAGGAAACCAAGGACGCCCGCAAGGTTTGTATACTCTCAATTGGTGCTGTGGTCTTTGCATTCGCTAACTTGATCCAAGCGACCTAACAAGAAGCAAGCTGCTGCTGCTGCTGCCAGTGCAGCCGCAGGTGCAACTCCATCCACCGAAGCCGCAGAGCTACCGACTCCATCGACCCCCGTCACGCCGCAGCACCCTAATTCTTTCAATCCCAAGAATGGAGCGAATGGAGCGAACGGGCAAGCTCAACCATCACAGCCGACCTCGGCACCTGCTCCTCAGACCATGGTGCAGCCACCCCCTGACCAACAGCAATCCTTCGCTGACCTCAGCATTCCTGATGTATGTTCTTCCACCTCGTCTCCTACAAGTATGCATTTACTGACTCCATGCAAGCCATACAACCTCGACTTCGGCCCACTGGAAAGCCCAAACATCCTGGAGCACTTTGACTTTGACACATTCCTCAACACGGATGCCGCCGACACTACTGGATTTGGGTTCGATCCCAGCATGTCCTATTCGGCCGATGGTGTTGAAACAGGTGCTGGTGACGGCCTGTGAACGTGTAAAAGTCTTAACGGTCCTTCAGGTGCTTCACCTCCGATATACCCTTGTTTGTACATTTGATCATTGCTCTAGTGCGTTTTCGCGGATACTCGACCTGTTATGTTTTCTTCTTGTCTCTCAATTATCTGGATATGTGTTTTCTGCGCATGTGCTGTCGTGAGATTGGCGTTGGTGTACCTTTGTTCATCGCATCCTCTCCTATCCCCTCCCTTGCTCGTCCTAGGAAACCAGCATCCTTCAACTGATACCAGGGACTGCTTGGTCTGGCCGGGGCTCTTCTGTATTCGAGATTAGTGCACTGTGACCTACGAGTTTTCTTGGCTTCTCTTCCTTTCTTTCTATTATTACTATTATTTTACTTGTGGATGTGGTTACTTAATTCCTTGCTTGGCTTTGTCTGTACGGGCAACGTTGATACCTCTCAGTATGAAGACCAGTTCCCTACGGTTGATCCAGTGCACTTTCATACTTTCATTTCCAACGATTTCCTTTTTTTTCTGTTCTTTTCTGTCACTCATCTTCTCTCTCGTTTGATCAATCTCGAACAATCTTCCAACAAATGCCGGCCGTTTTCCCCTTTTTTTTCCTTCCCTTTCTCTCTTTTGTCACCAGTATTACTGGTAGTGGGCCTTTTCTACCTCTACTTCTATCACACAGGCTAGATAGCCTGTGGTTTTCTTTTCTTTTCTCTTTTTCTTCTCTTTTCTCTACACTTTGCCTATACTCTGAGATCAGACCCGGGTACCACCCGACCAGCCCATATTATCCCTGAAACCGGACATAGTAGTGACCAGAGGGAAAATGGCACTGATCTAAAAAGGAACCAAAAGAACTAGGAATTTCGCGACTCTACTTGTGGCTGTCGGTGTTAGTGTGTTGATGGGATGAGACCGGATTGATATTGGATTTGGATATTCCCTTGTTAGCAAATTCCAGGAGTTTCGATGTCGTTATGGTTATTTCATGTTATTTTCCTGGTCTCAAAATATTGATTCGAACTCATACATGGATAGTTTTCTCCGTCCACCAGTCTTGGAGTTTGTGTACATGTAGACAGCCTGCTGGCATGATAGTGATAGTATAAGCCAAGTCAATTTAGTGGCCTGGTCACAATGCAGATTTTAATTCCTATATGAGCTGTCGATTCAAGGCGGCAGTCTCCAAGTATTGTCTAACACGCAGTAACCATGTCATCGTTGTACTGTATTGGGAGTCGGCGAGGCTATAATGCTACTTTCCCTAATTGGGAGTCGGACGGGTCAGGCTTCTGATATAAAATCCTTCCTCCTTCTTCTTTCTCCTCCCTCTCATCTTCCCTTGTCAAACCTCCCTCTTCTACTTTTCCTCTTCTCTTCCCCCCTCCATTCATCACCCATCCCATCCTCCATCCTTCTCCTCCATCCTCTTTCCTCTTTCCTCTTTCCATCCTACATCCTCTTTCCTCTCACCATCCTTCACCATCCTGTGAAGAACACACTTTGTCTGTTTTCATCTTCTATATATTTCATTTTCGAGACATGCGTTTTTTGCTGTTCTCTTCCACACCTGAAGTTCATAGAATTCAGGCTGGAGTCTTTTCTGTCCCGGTCTCTCCCCAATTACACTCTCCAACACTAACACTTGCATGCTTCAACGGGGCCGTGAGTCTTCTTGTGTCTCACAAAGGGTCATTGATAAGTCCCCGTGTACTCATGAGACGACACATGGCTGACATTGCCCCTTTCACAGGTCCCTCCGTCAACCATTCCCCTGACCTCCGACTGGAAGCAGCATTCGACACAGCCTTCCAGCGGACATGTGACCTTGCCCAGTGAAGAGGACTCTGAGGGTATCTTGACCTCTGACTGCGCGAAAGTGCATCACGTCTTTGGGGAGGTGAAGGATGGGCTATCTGAGACCCGGCGTGGCCTCGCCCCAGAGGAGTAGGACTCCGATGGCAGACAGGGGAAGGATATAGAACAGTCACCCACCGGGGTTATGACAAAGTTCTACGAGACGGGAGGCGGAGGATACAGGGCAGGGTTCCAAGGAAGACACAATTCCGAGGGCCTACTACATGCATGGATTCTCTGAATCCTTGGGTGGCCACAGACGCCATCAAAACCCAAATCTTTGGAACTTTTCCATCAGAGACAGCACTCTGGTTACTTGCTCGATGAAGAGAACTCTGAGGGCATTTTTAAAAGCTTGATTCATTGTACTTTGAATCTCGCTTGTCATGAGACGGATACTTACACTATGCAAGTAGGACCTCCACTTGTTCCTTGTCCTGTCTCTTGAAAGCTTTTTTGAACCATTTCGCTAGGGACAGCCCCCTGGCTTTAGATAGAATGAAGCTGAATCAATCATATTTTCCTCATTTGAGTTCCTTTTGTAGTGAAATTATTCTTATAGAGGTTCTGGTGTTGAAGGTATTTCAATACGAGCATAACATTTGTTTAAACTCTCACTAGACTTGTCCATCGACAGATTTTTTTTGAGAATTGTTGATATTATTTGAATAAACAAAGGGAAATACTTCGAACTTGATAGTCTAAGCGCCTTTAATGGTCTTTATGCTTTGGAACGTGCCAAAGTGGTCAATTATAACGCGTCCTTGGAAGACCTTTTTGGAGTCTCCCGAGATGTCTCCCCGGATATTCTTTTTGTATGTATTCGAGATATTTCCCTCCATTATTGGTGTTGTAGCAAGAATGGTGCAAAATGCCATATAGCCAACTCCGTGTTTTGAAAGAGTTCTTCTTACATTTGCAATCAAGTAGAACCTCCCAATCCAAATTTGAATGTATTTAATGATGTATTTATGCTAAAGAACACACCGCGACAGTCATCATGGTGATGAGCCTGAAGAAGGGTAATGAATGAAGGGTGCCTGGTGGCCCGGGACACCCCAGGAACAGCCTTATCCTGGCTGGATATTGTGGTCCGTGGTGTTCATGAACAACAAAGAGAGAAGATACGATGCGGTGAAGAAGAGACGTGTGGCAGCGAAGAACGAAGATGGGAAAAGAGGCGATGATAGGGAAGAGAGAGAGGGAGGGGAAGGAAGAAAGAGAGCGAAGTCACTTTACAGTCGCCTGGTAGACATGACTCTTCATACCAAACAAGCAGTTGAGAAGGCAGGTGAGAAGGCAGTTGAGAAGGCAGTTGAGAAGGCACGAAGTTCGAAACCGCCTTATGACACCATGTACTGCCAGGTATTCAATGCCATACTACTGCTATTGTTATATCATGTTTGAATAAACGGTAGCAGTAGTACAGGAATTGCATGCATAAAACAGTACTCCATATAGTGGAAGACTTATTGCTCGAGATCCGGATAAAGACTCTTCGTGATAGTAACTAGTGTTAGTCCAAATTCGAATACAGTATACTTGTCAGCTTGAAATAGGGTAAAAGTATCGATTGAAGTTTGTATAAAACAGTACATTTGTCGACTTCGTAGTAAAAAGTGCATTGATTGAAGCTCACATAAAAGATACATGCCGGCTTCATGTCACTGAACTAAAACAAATGAATGAGTAGGTAAGTATAAGCTGAAAAGCATCATGATCATGGCCAGTTCGATCCTACAAAACCGACTCATTCTCGTCCTCTAGATTCTCGACATCCCTGGAGTTGCTGTTTTCGTTCGCAATCCCCTTACCCTTACCCTTAGACTGCGCTTTAGGGGTCTCCTGGCTGGCCTCTTTCTGGGTCTCCTTTTTGCTCCGGACCTTCTCGCTTGGACTCGCCCCGACCTTGGATGGAGTCAAGTTCTTCTTGGGCTCGCTCGATCCCGAAACATCACGGGTGCTTGACTGTGATATCTCCCTGAGTGCGGATGCACGGCGGCTTCGGGTCTTGTAGCTTGCAGATCGAGCTTCGGCTGCAGCAGAAGGCTTTGAGGCAGATGTCGCGGCGGCGACAGCGGATGGAGTATTAGATGGTGCGCGCGTACCCATTGGAGGAGCCTTCGTTGGTGTCAGAGCTTCAATCAGCTCATTGTATTGCTCATCGTCAAGACATGAATTGATGCTAGGCTGCTTGCTGTGTTCGTAGCTTATCCCAGTCATGCTGGAGATGGCCCGGCTGCTGTTCGATCCCGTGGAAGTATAGTCTGGCATTGGGATGTCCTCGCGAGAGGATCGAGCACCACGCTGTCGCCAAGCTGTATCATCAACGAAGGCGTCTATGACAGGTTCCACGATGTATGTTTCCTGTGGCTCCCATCGAGGTTCTTGTGGATAGCCGTTCCATTGTGTGGAAGGAATGGGAAACCCACGGTGAGGGGTCCAGGCATTGTAAGTTGATGCGGTACTACCGCTGTAAGTAGCTGCATTGCTGCTAGATTGGCTGCTCGTGTTAGCCGTAATCGTACTTCGATGATCGGATCTGCTAGGTTTGCTTGGCGAATGTCCATGTGCGCCATCGCCAACTGCCCTGGGGGTACTATATCTGGCCGCCGATCCATACCGGGATGCGTTCGGCATAGCAAGCCACATGTTGGGATTGGGCCACGCAATGTCAGAGAATTCCAGCACATCTAGTGGTGCATGCTGGAAAGAGAAAGCAATGACATGCTTGTATCGTTCGAACGGGGGTGAGCGATTGGGGCGAGAGAAACCTTCTGCGATGACAACCTTGATTCGACCTTGAGAATCCCCGGCATCCCAATGCTTCTGTTGTAGTATCTCAGGATGGAAGGGAGGAAATCGAAGGACGTCTTGGTTTCCATCTCGGTCAAGATCTGTTCGGATTGTGAGAATTTGAAATCAAAGGGAAAGAAGGAATCGCATACTAGAGCCCAGATCTAGCAAATGAATGTCAGTAGCTATTCAATAATAAAACCAAGCAAGGCAATGGGGATATTGGAACTGCGTTGTGCCGATGTAAGCGCGCGCAACATACCCATAACCTGTGGCCAACTAGTTCTCTGTGGATAGATACTACCCCTGCAAGACATCAGCTTAATCCAAGCATCAGAGTACATAGATCGTAAGTTACTCACGCAACAAAGACCCCATCAATGAAGACCCGTGCCTCGAACAGCAAAACGTCCTCTGGTTCCATATTGGACTCAATCTGGACACTGGGACGTGGCTTCTCCCAACTATGAACTGAGACTTGGAACGGACTGTCTTTGGGTAGACTTGGGATGAATGTTGTGAGGACTGGCAGTTGGTTAAAAACACCTGGCTCGGGATGGTGTGCATGAGGGCCAAGGAAGACTGCATTCTGTAGATAGGGCGAGTCTTTGTCCTTGGTCACAAAACATTGTGTCTTGAACTCTTGGATGGGGGCCTTTGAAGGCCCAGGGAAAAGAAGGACATCCCAGTTTCTGTAGCGCATGATGCTGTGGAGAGTGGTAAAAAGAGAATGGATGGACTGATCATGTCGAAGTTTCTTGGGTGGTGTATACAAATGATGGGAAGTCGTGCAAGGCGGTATACAACCAACACGGTCGTTGTTGCCTTGAGTAGCACTCCGTATAGCATCGATAATGGTAGGCGGTATGCTTATCGATAGACATATTGATAAGACGTCTGGAGGTGTACACCCAATGTTTCTATGTACATGTATGGTTGTATGTAGACTGCATACATGTGAGTACTATTGTACAGTTCCAAGGTCCACTTGCCAATGCTCATGCGGCGAATACCAGGCATTAAAAAGATAGAAGAGCCATACCTATATGAATTCCATTCAGGAATTAAGGAATTTACAATGATCCAGAAGAGTAGTCTCAGAATCAGTCCAGTTCAAATCCCAGCCCTAACCCAGTAGACTCTCAAGATAGCAGACAGCAGACAGCAATATAGCAAGACAACCACCAGGGACCAGCTGACAGAGCAACCAGGTATGCTCGAGTCCATTGAAACCTCCACCTATGGGACCAGCCACAGGGGCAATGTTTATAGGTAGATCCAGAAGCCAAGGGCCGACAATACAATACCAGGAAATGGAGAGCTTGAAGGCAGTAGTGCAATGCAAAATACCAGACAAGCGTACAGGACATTGTTGCATACGATCAAAGGAATTTAGAATCGACAAACGCTGAGGCGCACGAAAAAAAGCGTGTTGTACAAGCCGGCAATCAGTCTTAACAAGAAACAAGGGTAAAAAGAAGCACGACGCGAAGATTCTCAAAGCGAACATAATTCAATTTAGCTGCTTGAAGAAAAGAAAAAAAAAGAAAAAAAAGGAACAAATGAAATAAGGTGGTAAAAGTGGTAACGGTGGGGGAAATGGAACTTTTCGCAGAATGCCTGCCCAAGGAGTATAAGGGAAAAAGAAGCGCAGGACAATTCGGACTTCCATTACACGCAGACAAAGACCCAGTGGCGGGAAACCCAGATAGCATAAATAGCATAAGGGCAGAGACACATCGAAAATAAGATAAAGAAAAATAAAATACGACGGGGCGCAAAGGGGGAGAGTCGAAGAGATGGTGAAAAAAGGAAAGATACATAAGAACAAGACAGATCAGAAAGGGGATAAAGCTCAGATCTTGCTAAGGTAATAGCGCTCACGTAAAAAGGAAATGCGTAGCACAGGAGACAAATGCTCATCAAGAGCTATAGCCTTGGCCCAGAAACCAAGGAACGAATTTGTTATGACACAATAGAATCATCGTTGGAATGACACAAATAACTCCTGCTGGTGCTTTCAATCAAAGGGAAACGCTTACTGGAAGAGTGTGTCAGCCGACCGCCTGCTTCACATTTGATCCGGGATCGGGCTGCCAGGGTGATCGCTCACCTTCATGGGGGCAAACCCGCCATACTGGTGGGTTGGGGGCATGCCCATGGAGGGGTACATGGGAGGCGGCGGGGGAGCAGGGCGGTAGGGGCTGCCGGCGGGGCCGGAGTTGTTCTGGGAGCGGCCCCAGCTCAGACGCACGCGGGAGTTGCCGATGGGGTAGCCCTGCATCTGGTTGATAGCCATCTCAGCGGCGTGGCGCTGCACGAATTGGACGAAACCACAACCCTTTCCGGGGGGATCTTGACGTAGGTGATTTCTCCGAAGCCCTGGAAGAAAGAACGGAGCTCATCCTCGGTGACGTAGCCGGACAGACCACCGACGAAGACGGTGGTGTTGTTGGGGTCTGTGAACTGGTTCATGGGCTGGGGAGCACCGTAGAAGGGCATGGGAGGGCCACCCATGGGAGGGTACATGCCAGCGGGACCGGGCATACCCATGGCAGCACCGCCGTTACCACCAACACCAGGACCCTTGTTCTTGGGGGTAGCGGTGGAGATACGCATGGGGCGGTTGCCACAGTAGACACCCTGCATCTCGGTAAGAGCACGCTGCTGGTCGTTCTCATCGGAGAAGCGAACGAAGCCGTAACCGCGGGACATGCCGCTGATAGGGTCGGTCATGATCTTGGCAGACTTGCAAGAGGGGAAGCGGCTCTGGAAGAGGGAGACGAGGACGTATTCGTTCACCTCGGGGCCGAGGTCACCAACGAAGATAGAGTACTCGGGGCCACGGTCATCACGGCTGGGACGGGTCAGTTTTTTAAGAGCCGGGAGGCAACCAACCAAAGAGATCATCGCTTACCTGCGATCAGCAAGGCCGCCACCGGTCGCCCAGTTGAGCTTGAAGACGCGGTTGGTGTTAGGCATGGGAGTTCCGTTCAGGGAAAGGGCCTTAGCAGCGGCGGCAGGGGAAGCGAAGTCGACGAAACAGTATCCGGCATTGCTCCTACTACCCACATTAGAAACAATTTTGGGACGCAAGTTCTAATTGCAGTCTTACCCAGAGAACTTGTCACGGATCATCTTGACGTTGACCTGCTCACCCATCTGGAACCAAAGGTTGCGGATGAAATTCTCGTCGATCCAGGGCTCGAGCTCACCCATCCAGAGGGTGGTCTTGCCATCGGCACCCTGCTGGGGGACAGAAGCGGAGTTGGGCTCACCAGGAGGGGGGCCCTGGAACTGAGCGGCGGAGGGATCGGCCTGGCCGGTCATGTTGGTGTCAACGGGAGCCGGGGCGCCAGCAGCGGCGGGATCCTGCTGAGGGAAGTTTTCGTAGCCGTTGTAAGACATGGTTGCAAGATCAAAGTCCGGAAAGTCGACGTAAGAATATAAGATGTCTGAGCGACTAGAACTTCGTGGAGTCGTTAAAGAAAGACCGGCGTGAGATCAAGTCGTAACGAAGCCAAGCAAAGAGACGGGCGTGAAAAGCTAGGAGGATATAAAGTCAGATTATATCAATTTTCAATGAAATTGAAGCAGATCTGCATATGCGCGAGTAAAGAAAAGGAAGTGAGAGATGAAAAGCAGAGAAAGGCAACCAAGCAATGCAAGTGAGTAAACGATGCGGAAGGGGAAAAAAAGTGCGTAGTCAGCATTTTGCGGCTGGTTCCTCGGGCGTATATATGATTCTGAGCCTCAAAAAAGTGGTGCCGGAAATCGCCAAGACTAGTGCTTCGGGAAGCATCGCATCTCACGATGCTAGCTTCGAGGAGTCGCCGAAGACGAACAATCCAACGGCGAAAATCGGATGCGCGAGACGAAAATGGACTTGCTTCCACTCGGGTAGGCGATCATCATGCGTCGGCCGTTTCCGTCGTCCCGGTTTCATGTCCGAATGCGACCGTCCACCCTCTCAATCCAGCACAGTTTTCGGGCAATTCAGACATCCAGATCGGACCGATTCCTCATATTGGCGACGTTTTTGAGGTTGAAATGCGTGCGACCGGTGGATAATCGGCTCAAATGTCCCGAAGCGCTGGTCAAGGCGAAGGCGTCGCCATACTAAAATCGTGAACCCTGCAAAGAAGCTTGCGATCTAGGGCTAATTTGCGCTGCGCTGCGCCGGACTGCTGATAGATATGGGGCAGGCATAATTTGGGGTACATTCAAACGAGGAAAGAGGCTTGGGGCCAAGATGCGACATGCGATAGAAAACACCAAGCAACTTACCTAGATGTTGAGGAAAACCTGGGAAAACACTGGAAATGCGCGAGGCAAAAAAAGAGTAATCGGCAACAAGGGAGGAAAAGCAGAACTCCCGATAACTAAACAGAAAATTGAAACCGAGATCTTCGAACAATAAGAAAAGGGAGGGGAAGGTAGGAGGGGAAAAGAAGAAAATGAAGAATTGGAAATCTCGCGAGATGAAGAGAGAGGGGAAGTGGGAAACGCATTACGTGAGTCTCGGTATGGTAAGTGTATTACAGGGTATTGGTATGTTCCGTTCCAGAGTTGAAATATGTCGCCAACAACATACTAAATAGTACGGAGTAGGTCGAGTATAGTATCCAACTGCGTGTATAGATCAGTATCAACAGTATGATATCTACTAGTTGTACACTGTAGCCGGTAGTGCAGAATGCCTTGCCTTTGTCGATCAGAGCTCTTTCCTCTCTTGACCTGAGGCAGGTACAAACCCTACTCCGTACGCCGTACATAATACTTATATATACCAGCCTGTCCCCAGATTCCTGTCAAAAATGCATGATATCAGTCATGCGGGGGGCTTACTATTCTTCATCGTACCAGAATCCCGGGAAGCCCGGGAGAATTGAAGATGATACATCATAGCCTGGGACCCGAGGTCTGCATCCAAAGTTCGTTGCCGATGATCGACCTCTTCCACCTGTCCGCATGATCAGCCACAGGGAAAAAAAAAAAAGAAATGTGAACAAAATTCGGTGAAAGCCAGAAGAACAAGGGGCCGGAAGCCCCAATGCATGAAATCTGCAAGGACCTGTCGCCGCCCTCGCAATGTGACTTGTCAACTCATCAGGTCTGTGTGGGCCTCTCCCGAGCCCTCGTCATCGTCATATGCTGAGTAAGAGTACAAGCAGATCAGGTAGTAACCTGTTGGGTACTCTGTACATCTTAGCATAGGCAGTGGTTTGATCTGATCTCTTGTATTATATGCGAAACTAGGGCTATATACTAAGGTGTTCATGGATATAGACATGATAATGTCTAGTAGCATGTCCACACCTGATCTGTTGTATGTAATATCATAATAAGCAAGACAAACCTTGGAAGAGAACAGACGCCACAGAACCATGGAACCAGCAGCCCCGTACGGTAATTGCATTTCCACAATACAGCAAGGTCACCCAGATACCCTGTCTGCAGCCCTGAAGCTGAAGGTCTACCAGAGGCCACAGAGAGCCCCCAATCCAATCTTCTCGAAGCAAGGTTCTCTAATCTATGTCCTGTACTGCCCTAAGCTGCAAGCAAGGACTTCCCAATCTGGTTTCCTCCCCTTCGTATTCCCAAAATACCTCAGCCGCGCACGTCCGGTCATGAAAGAACAGGACCAGGAAAAAAGACATCAAAGAGAAAGAAAGAAAAAAAAAAGGCTCCATCAGAACCATGGGAGACTTTCCATGCAAAGTTCTGCTCTTATTGGCCAGGATTGGGGGGCCGCTCGTATTGGAATTACTGCTTTACCAGCAGAGATTTCATCTGCTTGGCTTATTTCACTCTACACGGTACGCGACGCGTTTTTAAGATTGAATTACCCATAACCATGCTCTACTGACATGGTTTCGACCATGTTACTCTATTGTATGGTTTATACTGTGGAAGGGGTTGCGTGCAAGGGATGATATTCATTAAGGTGGGATGTTAAGTTTCAGATCTAACCCCTCCGTTCACCTGCTCAGCTCTATGAAAATAAGCTAATCCAACCCTTGCATGGTAAGACACGGCAAACTGGTCTCGTTGTACGGAATAGTATAGCCCTAAGCAAACGACCTAGATAGGCAGCTACAACATCATCCCACAATATATATCTAGTTATAGCTCAGTTCAGTAACACAATCTCATATTATACGTAAACACATGAACCATGGAAACAAAGCAGCTCGTTCCCACCATCGGAAATATCATCCAAAGCACATGCACATACAACTATTGGTATATCCCCTCTGTCATGACACAGTTACCACTTTCTTCGCTTTCACGTGGCGAAAAAGGCCAGGTCAAAGCACAGCCAACGAAATCGTATATTCACGATGTACATCTAAACTATAGCCCCTCGGACTTACTACTGGCCATTGCAGCCCCGAGCTACACAGACCTAGGCCACTAGCTGGCCCCAATGACCCCCACTTTCAGGGCTCACATCCACTTAGTTCGCTCTGTTCTGGCCAAAGAGAGTGCTAACACTGGGTGTGACTGATACCTGAATTCGAGGTACGGGAACTCTTACTGTAAACCTCATTACTTCATTACCGATCCAATCGGCATTTGTATAGTGAATAAAATCGACCGATTTTTTTGCCTGGACCCCACAGGCTCTTTGTTTTTTATTTTTCGGTGCAGATTTTTTCTTTCATTAGCTAGAAGTTTCTAGAAATATCTGCGTCCATAGGTAGTAATGTTAGGACAATATGAGGCCGTATGTAATGCAAATTGGTGTGGGACGTGCTCCGAACTACTTGGTCGCTATTTTGTGTGTGGCCTGAGCGTCTGCCTCGTATGCACCATATGTACACCGACGTAATGGCAAGAGATCCATTCTAAAAATATCATCTTCACCAATATCTATTTAATGTTGGAGCCGCATAGGCAAAACACCTAGATCAGGCAACAAGATTGGATATACATTACAAACAGTTAAACTCATCCATCCCCGCGTCCACCTCGGGATCCTGCTCCGCAAGCAACATAAGACTCTTCTCATAAACCCGTGTGGCCTCTAACATCCACGGCTCGACCTCGTCGCCACTATCCTCGTCCTCGTCATCCCCATATCCATAACCACCAGCATTAACAGTACCAGCATTAACTCCATCTTTCGACTTCTCCAAACAAGAGAACACTTCATATCTAGTCCTCTCCGCCAAACTCCGGATCCGAACTTTCTGCGTCTCGGTCATGAGAGAATGGCCCAGCTGTGCACCTGGTAGAACGGCGCCGGTGAGTGGGTTTGTGGCCGTACACAGCGCTGCGAAGACGGAGTCGAGCTTGTATAGGATGTTTAGAGTTGGTGGGGCATCGAAGGGGAAGGCTGGGAGGGAGGTTTGGGTTAGGCCTGCTAGGGTTATGAGGGCTTCGGTTTGGATTGCCGCTGGACGGAGTTGGTTAGAATGTAGCAGATGGGTGTAAGAAAGGAAGGCAGTAAAGATAGTATAAAACAATATAATCCCCACTTCTACGTTGTATAAGATATAAAACTCACGTGTTGCCGACGCCCAAAGCATGTCAATAAGACCCTCCACATCTGCAGCAAGCTCCTTGAAGCCATCATATCTGCGTTCTGAGGCAGGCGTACCCGGTGCGTCCATACCCATGTCGGATTTCATTTTGCGGTATGTGACTCTCTCTATGCCGGTGCTAATGTGGCCTCGGAGCTGGATTTCTTCCTCGGAGCCCGAGGGGATGGGTTGGCTTCGCTGTGGCGGGAGTGATAGAGTTGGAGTCCATTGTGGTTGCGGGGTTGCGGGGATGGTTATCGCGACTCCTCTATCTTCTCTGTTTCTGGGTCTGTTTGGGAGGGAGATTGGGACATCCTCGAACTCGACATCGGAGTCGGTGTCGGTGTCTTGCTCATTTTTGACTGAGGCGGGGGACATCTTGTGGCTTTCTTTCGATATAGAATAGAATGTGCCAGATCCAATGATTAAGATTCTCACTCTTGATGGGGTTTTTATGAAAAAAGAGCGAAGAATGGCCGATGAGGTGCTGTATGCTACTGAGATAGAGCTGTTTTTGCTGGATATATCATGCGGGATATATCGTGTGAAGCTTTTGCCACAGGCTTGGAGAACGTGACTTTGCCGAAAGTAGTATCAAATAATACAGCTAACTGCAGCCATTATGCTCCGATCTTTTTAAACAGTTTTATACTTTGGCAGAGCTATCAATCCTATTAGACGTCCTGTTTCCCAGAGGTGGGATGTAACGCCAAGAGTTGGTCTGTGCGGGAGATCCGGAATTAGAGGCATCTACGAGTTGGCTATGGATGATACGGACAATCCGAACATATATAATTGGATCATAAACTATTGATATTGAGATAACAGGTATGTATGTATCGAACCTATTTTGAGTCACAATTAGCAGATGCGACACCAAGAAGCACAATAAATCCCGGCAAGACAAAACTCCAGTTCAGAAGGCGAGAAGATATAGATATGCTGGTGTTTGCAGTCATGGCATAACAGCGGGCAAACGCGTTTCGCTAATATGGCCCCAGCGAATTCATCATAGGAGCAAGCATAAGAGAAGGCAAAGAAAAGGTAAAAACTCACATGTACATAGGACACCCCTCGAACCTTTTAGCTTGCCAGCGAAAAAAGACACCCAGAACGCCATGCTATCATGTAACAGATTACTCAGGCTGTATAAAAAGTCAGTAAAACCTCCAAGAACCAACCGAACAAGCAAGAGAAAACTTACTCGAATCTTCCCCTTCCGGGCCTTAATCTCCGCCAACTTCTTCTTATCCTCGTCAAAGCGCCTAAGCAACTGGTTCTGTCTCTCCTTCCTCTTCTCCCTAGACTGGAACCGATAAAAGTCCTCGAGTCCCTCAGCCTTCTTCTTCTGCTTCTCAACAAGCTCCCTCATCTCCTCCTCCCTCGCCGCAGAATTCAACTTCGGCCCATGCGAAACAGTAACGAATCCATCCTCATCCGGCACAGCAAGACGCTTGTAATCCTCGCGCTTGCGCACCTCAGACACCTGAGTGAACGTAGTCATGAACTCATTCACCGCCCGCAGCAGCGTCCCTCGATCAGGGTACTGCATCCGCTCGTGCGTGATGTACCGGTTCAGCCCGAGGACGGGGATGCGGTTGGTCGGCAGGCTGTCGCCCCAGATGATGGTGGTGCCCCGCTTGGCCGCCTTGGTGGCTGCCTTCAGGCTGGTTTCCATGCTGGGCTTGTCGGCGAAGATGACGACTGCGTGGGCGCCGCTCTTTTGAAGTTTGCGGTCCCAGGTTGATGGGAGCGTGATGTCGTCTAGGTGGCGTTCGAAGTCATCGGCAGTTACGCGCTTGCGCTTCTTTTTGGTTTGAGTTAGGTTGGTTTCTGTGGTTGTTACCGTTGTGCGCTTTTTGGTCTGCACATCTTCGAATTGGACTTTTTCTACGCGGCCTGCGGCGAGTTGCGTACCGAAAAGGTGTCGGAGGTGGACTTC